TTCTTGCAATGTTCATTAGATGAGCGATTCAGGGCCATAATGACCCTATTGGTTTGTTGTTGTTGTTTTTTTCTTCTTCTTTTTTCTGTTGCATTGTTTATTTCGCTGCTCTCTTAATATGAGAAAAAGATTCAATTTTCTGTATTTAAAATAAGCAATTGTAAGCATTTCAAATAGAAATGTTTCTCAATTAAAATCACCCAAAAAAATAATTTTATGCAATTTCATGAAAAGAATTTATTTTAAAGGGAAAACGTTTCTAAATAGTAAATGTATACATACAGCTTTATGTGTTATAATATTAAAAACATTGAAAATTAAATTTATCTGTCACACATACTGGGTCGTCTTAATCAAATATTTGTTTTAATTACAGAATTTCTCAAATCCCTTGTATCAAATTGCTACAATTCTTTCAATGCTTAGCTTGTAGAATTAGCTTAGTTATATTCAAGTACTGTGTTGGGATATACATCCTGTTGCAGCAACTCGCCGTAAAATTTTAACTTAATAGCAATTTTCTGAATAGTAGACCTAAGTATTTCGGTCAAACCTACGCTAAGAACAAATTGTAAAATACAGTGAGTTAGTGTATTCCATTGTAAAAATCTACCCGAGTTTCATATAAATGTAAACAGTAAATTATTAATATATTATTATAATGGTTGTTCAAAGAGAGTATAAAATTTACACCTCGAGCTTGTCATTTAGACATGTTATACCTATATGACGTACCAACAATAAAAAAAAAGATTTAAAACAGAAAGAGGAATTTGTTGACAATGGAGGTATACATTTACTTTATTTTGAATAAAACATGAATAATTTTAAAATATTCTAAAATACACATGTGAAAAGTGTCGGATTTAAATTCATTTCTATTCACCGTATTTAAGAATTGATAAAATTGAACTAAATCATTAAACTTTACAATTGATTTATACTTATATATATATATATATATATATATATATATATAGAGAGAGAGAGAGAGAGAGAGAGAGAGAGAGAGAGAGAGAGAGAGATAAAACATTATAATGTTTAAGAAATAACAAACTCTATGTAAATTCGGTAGCGCTTTCAATGCTTTCTTCGCATATCTTCAGCCGAAACTTTAATCATTAAAGATATGCGAAGAAAGCATTGAAAGCGCTACCGAATTTACATAGAGTTTGTTATTTCTTAAACATTATAATTTTATCTATTTCAACACTGCACAAGGAACATTTATCACGTTTTAATATATATATATATATATATATATATATATATATATATATATATATAGAAATGAGAGAGAATATATACACACATACCACCACATCGATATGCCAGTCCAATTACGGCACAGCGCCTAGCAGAACAGTCATGAAAGCATAGCCACTGCTCATCCACCATCACAAAAATGATGGTTTCAGAACAGCTTTATATACAGTCACAAACTGCACTACACATTGGAACAAGCTCAACATTCACATATATAGAGTTTGTTCTCTGTTATCATATCTCACAAATCAACGATGAAATTTTTATTGTCTTCTTCACTGATTGGGACCAGAGAACTATATATCTATTTCCGAAAGTCAACTGGATCACGTAAGATCAAGTAGATCCGTAGGATACAATGAATTTAGACAGATAAAGTATATATAAAGGGAGATAATTAAATTCAATACAGTTATACTTTCCCCTGCGTGGGATCACTTAAGATACAAGTGTGCAGATAAATTGATAGAAATGAGAGAATATATACACACATACCACCACATCGATATGCCAGTCCAATTACGGCACAGCGCCTAGCAGAACAGTCATGAAAGCATAGCCACTGCTCATCCACCATCACAAAAATGATGGTTTCAGAACAGCTTTATATACAGTCACAAACTGCACTACACATTGGAACAAGCTCAACATTCACATATATAGAGTTTGTTCTCTGTTATCGTATCTCACAAATCAACGATGACATTTTTATTGTCTTCTTCACTGATTGGGACCAGAGAACTATATATCTATTTCCGAAAGTCAACTGGATCACGTAAGATCAAGTAGATCCGTAGGATACAATGAATTTAGACAGATCAAGTATATATAAAGGGAGATAATTAAATTCAATACAGTTATACTTTCCCCTGCGTGGGATCACTTAAGATACAAGTGTGCAGATAAATTGATAGAAATGAGAGAATATATACACACATACCACCACATCGATATGCCAGTCCAATTACGGCACAGCGCCTAGCAGAACAGTCATGAAAGCATAGCCACTGCTCATCCACCATCACAAAAATGATGTTTCAGAACAGCTTTATATACAGTCACAAACTGCACTACACATTGGAAACAAGCTCAACATTCACATATATAGAGTTTGTTCTCTGTTATCATATCTCACAAATCAACGATGACATTTTTATTGTCTTCTTCACTGATTGGGACCAGAGAACTATATATCTATTTCCGAAAGTCAACTGGATCACGTAAGATCAAGTAGATCCGTAGGATACAATGAATTTAGACAGATAAAGTATATATAAAGGGAGATAGTTAAATTCAATACAGTTATACTTTCCCCTGCGTGGGATCACTTAAGATACAAGTGTGCAGATAAATTGATAGAAATGAGAGAATATATACACACATACCACCACATCGATATGCCAGTCCAATTACGGCACAGCGCCTAGCAGAACAGTCATGAAAGCATAGCATATTTATATATGTACACGAATGTAACGAATTAGAAAAAAATCTGAATATTTTATCCTATTTTTAAAGATCTTGAACACATTGGTATTAAACTGATTAAATTACTGGAAAGCTGGAAAGGAAACCGTCTTTATCACTGTTTAAAAGTCACGAAAGACGAGTTCAAACATGTTTGTTTAAACAGCGCGATGCATGAGGTAATCGACGTTACCTATTCTTATATGACAAGGACAGTAAACCTAGAATACTTAATATATTGTTGACTTAAAAAGCGGGGTACATAGGTGACTGTGATGGGCTGGTCCTTCCGATTGTCCTTCCATACGCAAGTTCGTCCTGTTCTACTGGTCCGTTCAATTTAGAAGAAACAAGTTAAAATGTTTTCGTGCGGGTGAAAATTTTAACGATTTAAAGATATTTCATTCAACTTTTTTCAAAATTGTTTTAAAAAAAGTTTGTATCGATAAATGTGTTAACACTAATTATAATCGGTCAATAGAAGAAGATCTTTGTAAACCGGTGTAGGGTATATCGTTCATCATAAATCATTCATAAATGCCGTGTATTAACGATCTCGATCTGATGTTTATGGTAGTTTTCGGATATGATTGAAAGAAAACAATTATTTCTTTTAAGAAAATGATTAAATACTATTGTATGAATAATTTGGTGCCAAAAATAAAGTAATTTAACAAGTTTACACAGTAATTATCGATATCTATTATGGCAGATACCACTACGTATGTTTTAATTTAACCTTGGACAGCAGAAGTTCCAGATTTTATAGATTTTCATTATAAACAATTAGTTTATTTATTTTTTTATTTTTTTTTTATTTTTTGTAAAATTTGAAATAGATTTCAAAGGAACATTGATAATATTCAATTTCATAAGGTTAAAGGTATAGGTCACAGTAAGACTTTTATAGACTCCTTGTCTGATCAATACATTGATAATATAAACAAAATTAATTTAAGCTCTGGTTATATACCTTACAGTGGCCAGGGTCTTTCATCTATTTGAAAGACCCTGCAGTGGCATTATGCCATTTAAGTGTAACTAGCAAGTGTAAAGGTACAAGACAAAATAAGTTAACATGTTGCCAATATTGTTTTCAATTTATTTCATGAAAATTTCTCGGGATGTTTCTGCATTTTTTAGCAGAAATATCCCTCGATGTCGCCTCGTGTTATATCCTCGTTATTAACTCGTTTCATATACGATGACTTTTACTAATTAAACCACGCGGCAAATAACGAACGTTCATGTAGGCAAGATATGAAATTTGAAAGAAAGAAAAAAACGTTTGTCAAACCTTGGCATAGAGGACTTTCAATACTACTTGGAATAAAAATTCAAAATTGTAATTCTGACTGTCAGGCACAAAATGTTAGGTCAAGGTAATACAAGCGGTTAAATGACACAATTGGTACATTGTATAGACCTTTAGTAGTCGTGAATTGAGGGACTGTATCCGAAATGTTATCAATCTTGAGACCGAGAGTTACCAGCTTAAACCAGGTCAATATATATAAGGTTATTGTCAATATTAAATATGTGTAATGTCCTGCTTTGTAGGGAGCATATCGTATACATTCAGAAAGGGATTTTAGACATTGTTGATTCTAATATTGACCATCATAAGTCCGAAGTCATAGTGTTGTGTACAAGGACCAGTTCTCTATCAGTGCTCGGTATCATATTTAGAGGTCAGACGAAAACGTTTGTTCATAGTGTAACGCATTTTAAGTGTTGTGAGGGATGATGATATAACATGCCAAAAATGTTCAGAATCGTGAGCTGGGGTGTAATGCTCAAAATTTATGTTCCTGTAGCATAAAGGTCAAATATGTGTAAACAAACAATTTAACTTTGTACTTGATAAATTTTCAAGAGCTTAATATTGAGTGATACCAGTACAGTAAAGGTCAATATATGAAGTCAAGGTCATTAGAGATAATGTAATGTCCAGACTTTGTTCAGAACTGCATTAAGGACTTTGAAAATAACTGACATAAATGGTCGGCATTGTTTCAGGCATCAGATATCAAATATAAGGTCAATTATATTATCAAAATGTGAATGTTGATCATTAGTTTTAGAAGTCTTAAATTCATGGATTATATCAAACGTGTTTCCGATCACTTTCTTGATATAACACAGTAAATGTTCTTGGCAAGTTAAATGAATGTGTCTTCTGTTTTGTTTATTTATTTCCCCTCTTTAGCACTTTGAAAATATGCTTAGTAAACCTTTCTGAACATATCATAAATATGATTGTAAAAATGGCTCCGCACTATTACACACTAGTCAATATCAGGTATGTGATCTTGGGCAATTGCAAAAAAAAAACTGTGACATCCACTCTTTCCCAGCTTGTGCATTATTTATTTTAGTCCGGTTGTGTAGAAGCTTAAAGGATAGACACACACTCAAATCCGTTCCTGGAACCAACCTTGAGTAAGCAATAAGCTCTTACCTGTTTGAGCCCAAAAGACCAACAGTCCATAGATTTACTACTAACAAGCTTCTCGGCTACGGTGCCATTTTCCCCCTTTATCTCCCTTTGTGTCTGTATAGAGCAAATTAAATAATTATATTTTTGAACTTTTCCGGCAAGTTGGATATCATATGATTTTTTTTCAACTCATTTCGTATTATACGTTCAATAACCAGTACTTGACCTTGGCTAGTTAAATAACTGCAATATCTTTTAGACTGAATATAGCTTTCATTAAAGCGAATCGGTCCATAATGGTACCATTAATGATAATGTTAATAAATATCTTAAAAAGAATAGATCTGTCGAAAATTTTGAATTGTTAAAAACTAAACGACGTGTATATATAAAAAACTAAAAGAAAAACACGGTCTGAGTTTAATGGGAAACAGAGGAAAAATCTACAAAATTTAGCCAAGCACCAGCCTCAAAAGTTTTGACAAGAAATACGAAAAATTAAAAACAAAAAATCTAAAGCTGGAGATATTTCTAAAGAACATTTTTTTTCAATCATTTTAAAACACTATTTAGAAAATAGTGCTTTAATTAATAATGAAGTTGAGGATGAATTGAACCAGAAAAGCTTAGATGAATATGTTATTGAACAACTTGATAAAGAATTAAGTATTGATGAGATCAATTTAGCCATTTCTTCTTTGAAAAGAGGTAAAAGTAGGAGTGTAGATATGTTGGTCATTGAAATATTTATAAAATGTAGTGATCTTTTACTTCTTTGTCTTTGTAAATTGTTTAATTTTATGTTTCTTAATAGTGTATATCCTGATATATGGACAAAGGTATGATAGTTCCAATCCCCAAAAATGGTAATGCTGATGATGTAACTCGTGGCCACGAGATAGCTAAGTCAGGGCCACGAGATACTATGTCGTGGCCACGAGTTACTTAGTCGTGGCCACGACATAAATAACCAATCAGATTACACCAATTATATGAATTTCCCTAATAAACTAGACATGTGCTATAGTTCAAGAGGATGCCCCTACTTCAATAGCCTGTAAAAGTGCCATTTAAACAAATTATTGACAATAATTTTACATTTTTAGCGTCACTGTGACCCTGATTTATGACTCAATGACCTCGAAATAATTAGATCTCATCAGTAGGTGCAATGATCTTTCTGGGTTATATAAACCATGGCTTATCCCTTCTAAATTATTCATCAGACAAGGATTTCACCTTATAGGCTATCTACTGTCCAGGGGCAATGTCCCTTCTAAATAAAATAAACCAGGACTTATTCCTTCTCATGTTATCGTACAGGCCGTTGTACGTAAAAACTGACCAATTCGATCACAAAATTGTCCCAACAAATGGCTATAGTCAAAATTAATGTCTGATGGGCCTTTGAAGGTGTCTTTCTAATATGATCCAAAAGACAAGTTCAAAGTGAATTTCTTTGAACAGTATTTTCAAAGAATAATGTTGCATGTAAAGTAAGTTGTAAGTTTAAAAAATTCATAATATATATAGTGTATTCTGATTGGTTAATTATCTCGTGGCCACGACATAGTTATCTCGTTCCCACGACTCAGTAACTCTAGACCACGACATAGTATCTCGTGGCCACGACTTAGCTATCTCGTGGCCACGACTTAGTAACTCGTGGCCACGACTTAGCTATCCCGGGGTCACGACTTAGCTATCTCGTGGCCACGACTTAGTAACTCGTGACCACGACTTAGTAACTCGTGTCCACGATAAAGTATCTCGTGGCCACGACTTAGCTATCTCGTGGCCACGACTTAGTAACTTATGGTCACGACTTAGCTATCTCGTGGCCACGACTTAGTATCTCGTTGCCACGACATAGTATGTCGTGGCCACGACCTAGCTATGTCGTGGCCACAACTTAGTAACTCGTGGGCACGACATAGTATCTCGTGGCCACGAGATAATTAAAAACACACACATGTCACTTTTGTGCCACCGTAGTTATTAGATTATCAAAAATATATCTACTTTACAAATGCATTACTGATATTGGTATAAATAGCACACTATTATTTACAAACCTATATTGAAATACAGTGTATATGTGTTCTTTATAATATAAAAATGTTAATGTCAAATTATTTGTATTCAGTTACATACTTTTCTCATGTAGTATTTGTAACCGTCTTTCTGTTTATGGCGACGGACATTGTAAAATGTTTATGCCTTTTGAAATAAAATCTTGAATCTTAAATCTTGATAATTTTGATAGTATTTAGTATCATACCGACAATAAGTGTGAAACACATGGGTCGATTTTGCCTATCTATATAAATCAGATAATAGATTGTCATAAACCTAATGACCTCTTCAGTGTCAAAAAATTTATATTAAATCCATAGGCACTTGATAGCATAAAAAAGATATATATCTACTGTGTAAATAGATTACTATACCTTTTTTTTTTTAAAAAGACGTGGTTTTGTCGGTATATTTTTATTGATTTGTGTGTTCTTATAAAAATCACGGCCGGTAGTCGGTCACAACGGGTAGTCGATCGAAAAAACTTATTTGCTGTCAAGTGTCTATGACTAAATCGTCTTAAACTCAATTTCATAATCTTCAATTTAGGATTTTTTTATATGAATATCAAAATGAAACATTTCTATTATATTTATCAATATTTGAAATACGTATGGAAATACACACACATACTTACTCGTAAAACTATAAACACCATGGCATTAAGTTCTACATCATGTAACTGTTGCATACTTTTTTCCCAATTTTGTGCCCTTTTTGCACATTCAAATAAGGTAAGGTACAGTTATTATTGAATGTATTGAATATTTGTACTTTATAAGTGGTCTGTGAATATATTTTTTTCAGACAGCAGTAAAATCTTTGTAATCATTGTTGGTCATTCTAACATTGATTATTTCTGTACAGTACTGTTTTTATTTATATTATTATTATTATTATTATTATTATTATTATTATTATTATTATTATTATTATAATTATTAGGAACGAGAAGAGAAACAAGAATCTGACAGTAAAGAAAATGACAACACCAGGGAAGCAAGCGTTGTTGTTACAGGTCGGAATGCTCAACAACAATCTACAGAAGGTTAATTTCTAATTTTTATCTTTCTTACTTACATAACATCTAACGGTTTAATTGCTAGATGAGGTATTTGAAAGAGCGCGCGATCAAAAAAAAACTATTTGGAACGGCTGCACTGCAAGATTATCCCAAATGAATAAAATGTGTTAATATACAATTTTAAGAATATACTATTTAGATATAAGTAAATTTCACAATTGTAAAGCATCTATTAATTATAAAGCTTTTTAACTTTGGCAAAGGTTGTCATATTTACACTTTACTCTACCATTCCGTTTTAGCCAAATATTTTGACGTGCTAAACTTACGGTGTCCTATGTCGAACACAAAATTTCGCTAGTTAACATGCAAATTATCGCCTCAGAAGGGCGAAATTTAGTGCATGTCTTAAATTTGACTAGTCTCTCAAGCGATAAATTCGGATAGCGCCCTTGAGCTCTTGTCTAAACATTTGTTACTTTTGCAGACGAAATTGTGCTTTTCACAACAAGTCCAGAGAGCTTACAAGCTTAAGTTGATAATGTGTATAGTTATTCGTCAAAATGGGGGCTTAAAATCAATGTTAATAAAACAAAAGTTTGTGTTTTTGAAAGAAGGAAATCTGTACATAGTTTTAGTATAAACATTGACGGTCAGTTTGTAGATATTGTTGATAATTTTTTCATATTTAGGTGTAAAATTTTCTTATACGGGTAGCTTTTCTGAAGCAACTAAGACTCATGCAGAGCAATGCCTTAGAGCATATAACAGTCTATATTGGGTAGTTTTGACAGGATAAAATTAGATATTAAAACAAAACTGCACCTTTTTGATAGTCTGATAACTCCAATTCTGTTATATGGTTTAGATGTATGGGGAATATAATATAAAGATATTGATAAACTGCAAATAAAATTTTATAAATATGTACTTGGTGTAAAAAAACAAATTTCTATGGAGAACTTGGTAAATTTCCTTTGTCAATTTTATGTAAAGAAAGGTCTTTAAAGTTTTGGAATAAAATTGTTAATAATCAGCATTCGCCTATATATAGCATGTATTTAGATCAATGTGTTAATTGAAATAAATGCTGGGCTTTAGGATTAGGATTTTCATATTTGTTAGATTAAATAATGTTATTTCTGATTTTAGCTTAATTTTCAAACAACGCCTTAGAGACCAATTTTGTCATGAGCAAATAAATATCATGCCAAAACTCTTTTGTTTTAGGAATTCAAATCAAAGTTTTGTTTTGAGGAATATCTAAATGTAAAACAAAATGACAAGTTTAGAAAACGTTTGACATGTTTCAGACTTGGTTCTTATTCTCTAGATATTGAAATTGGCAGATATATAGGTTTAAACAGAAATGAGACAGTATGTAAACTTTGCACTCAAAACATGATAGAATCAGAATATCACTTCCTGCTTTGTTGTCCATTTTATTCAGAATTAAGAAAACTTTTTATTCATAATGCATCTTTTCCCACACTGAATAAGTTTTATTATATTATATTATCTAATAATAAACAAAGATTATTGCTGATAAGTAAATACTTGCATGGTCACAGCTTCTGATTTACGATTTAATATCATGGAACAAATGATAAACAGACGACATTAATGATATATTATTATTTCTACTTTGTTATTTGTTTATTTAAAAACAAATACTGATATTTGAAATGTTTATATATGTATCTTGTAGTTATGTACTATATTTCAAGATCTATATATGTATATGTTTTGTGTGTATTGCCAAAGGCAATGATTTGCCGATTTGCAAATAAAATTTGAACTTGTACTTGATAATAATTGCCTTTTCTATAGACCAGGGGAACTTATACTAGCGATATTTAACATTTTCGGATCGATTATTATAGTCTTAATTTTTATATGTTGGATGTTCCTAACGCGATAATTATCGCAACGCGCTTATTATCACGGGAGAGACTAGCGAAATTTAAAACAAGGGAATAACCAATTTTCTCGCTTGAACCAAGTATGCAACCACTTCACGTCCTGCCCCTTGGCAAGTTATGTGTGTTATGACATATTTTACAGGACAATATGATTTTATTACCTACCTATTTAAGAATTGTAAACTCTTTCGAACATTGATCTCAGGTGAGTGATCCAGGATCGTCATTACCCATTTATTAAAAGAAACAATGAGATATGGTTAATTTAGGAAATACACTTAGTTGATATCTTAACTTATCAGGCAATGCGATATCAATGACTTGTTCAGACATTGAATGAAAAAAATCACTCATTGTGTAGGTTTTTAAGCCATGTTTATGTAATAAATATATAAATTGTGAAAGAATCAATGCTATGCGTTAATTGTCTACCTTTATAAAAAGTAAAAAGTCTCCCCGTACATTTAATCAATGATGTTATATTTTCGATCCTTGAAGATCGTTCAGCACGACATTATTGTTGTGCTTGTAGTATTTTTAGTTTCAACTTTTCGGCATTTTCTAGTTGGGTGGTTCCAATATTCCTACTTGAATAATGTTGAATCACCCTTAGGATATGTTGCCTGCTTTTTAAATTTGTCTTTTGACGTCTTGTCTGTGATACGCAGGCTTCATAACCTCTGATCCCCTTTCAAAATTCCATTTTATTTAGTTCCGCCCATTGTTTTCTCGTTTAGGGCACACGCTTTTTATTACTTGGGGACCATACGCCGCTTTTCATGGATTGGCACGGAAGTGTCACATTGAAGGTTCCATGATAACCGCCGTATGAACACATCTGCGGATGTTTCTAAATTCAAAATTTTACTATTTCATGTTTAAATGTTGAATTCTGCTTAAGCCGGTGCTAGGGGGCGTGGACGGTAACTTGCACTTTCCAGTACCGTCCATGAACAGGCTCAATCAAACCGAGCCTGCAACATTTTCAATTTTGTCGTGTTGGGCTTTCTTTAGGGATTCTGTATTTATCTATTTTATACCTTACATTCATGTACATGTTTGCTATTTAAAGCACGTTTAGTTGGTTTATTGTCTTCTTATATAGCTTGACAATTAACTGATAATTTCAAAGATACTGAAACAAGAAATATCACGCAACAAAATTTAATAACCGAATGGATACACATGTTTGTACGTGCATTTCTTACTCACCCACTTGACCCAAAGGAAGACAAAAATACTTTCATCTAATAAAAAGGACTTTTTAAGTTGGAACATTTGCATAAGAATTCATAGAAAGTTAAAAACAAAGCAAAGAAATAGAATGAACTGCCTATGTATATTTTGTTTCTAATACAATTATCGGATAAATTTACCCCACCCACGTTCACAAAATATAAAATATATAAATTTTATGTTTTTCTTACATTTTTGCAGTAAACACATGGTGTTAATTGAATGCCAAAATTCAGTTTTAAAAATAAAGAAACTTTTTTTAATTTGCACATAAATTTAGGAAAAAAACTGGAGAAATATGCTAAAATTGGGAACATTTTCTTTTTATTATATATTAAAAAATGTTTTAGACAATAAATTTAAAAAGTTTACTTTCATTATAATTAACATATAATTTGATTATTCTGATATGTTTAAACACTTTTTATATCGAAATAAACATTATGTGTGCAACAAATTATACAAAAAAAATAATATAACAGTTTTGCACAAAATCGGCGGCCATATTGGAATTCATCTTGGATTCTGAAGAGGTATGAAAGCGAAATTTTATAAGATTTAAATTTTTGAAAAGGAGAACGTTATGCATGCGACGGTGTAAGTTTCAGATCTGTAAAATGATATTTTATGTACGTAAAAATTATATGGCGGCCATTTTGAAAATGGTCGTTAACGATCCCTTGCATATAAACGGCTTTTCCGGGATCCGAAACGCTATATCCACTGAGCTATTGCGCACTTAGCATATACATGTATAATTGAATAAGGGTGCAGCTCGTAGAAAATTCAGGTGATGAATATATGCTTTATATGCAAGGAAGTGGTTACTTTAAGTACTGAGAAAAAGATAAAGAACTGTTTTTTTTTTCTCTCAGCAAGGTTTCTAATTACCTATAAAATATGATGGTCTACATGTATATAGGTAAATTGCGTAAATGAAGGCAAAATGAATGAATTTGTTTATAAGATTATCTTTTATTCTCACCTTTAAATCGTTACACTGGCATAGTCTCAGCACTTTGTAAGCAGTTCAGCAATATCTTCTTTGATTCAAATGTCATGTTGCATGCAGATCTGGCAAGAAAAAAAATGTGCACAGCCATAATTTCAACACCTACTACCATATGCATTTTTAGTGTCTACACCCACCAGTAAACTCTGTGTTGATGTGACAAACTTTATAAACAGAGCATAAAAGATAATTATATTTGTTTGAATGTACGTTGTCATTTTTTTCAGATACATGGTTTTATAATGATGACAGTTATTTTCTTAGAAAGGTAAGCTTAGATCAAACTCAAAGTCAGATCAAATTCAAAGTCAGTGAAAAAATAACCAGAATAATACATTCGTTGGAAATTATTTTGCACAAAGAATTTGATTGTGTATTTTTTATCACAACACCAATGAAATTGTAACAAAACTAGGTTAAAACCAATGCATGCACATTCAATGGACAAAATGAAAATAAACGCTTTATTCATGCATAATTTTTATTCTACCTTTCCATTTTAAGAATTTTAAAATCTAAACAAACACATTAACAACAAATACCTAAACAATTATCGAGCAATAATACAAAGTAATATCTTACAGGAACGGTTGCATTCTACATAATGATTTCCCTAACAAATGCAAATTTTATTAATGAAGTAATGTTTAAAATGCTAATGTAAGGGAAATTATTGTCCGTTTAAATGATTCAAGTAGGATGAAACAAACTTATACACTGAGACTGCACAACTGAAAAAAAAATTATATAAAGAAATGAAAAAATAGAACAAGCGAATTTAGATGGAAATACATTGAAAAAAATAACAGGAAAAAGGTCAGTTCTTAACTAGGCATGAGGAAACATTTAAGCTTCTAAATATTGCTCTTAATTACAAAATAACCTCTGAATGCAATTCAATGTACTTACCTACTTTTATCAAGGCTTCATCTTTTAATTCTATCAATCAATGATATCACAATTTTATAAAAATGAAAACGTAAAACTATGAAGCAAAACATTTGATTAGAATGTACTGAAAGGTGCAAAGTGGTTTCTTGCTGTGTTACGAAGGTATAAGATAAAGTGCTTCTTTTAAATCTTCAACTGATCAGATTACTTAATTGTTATATAAATTCCCAAGAAGGGGGGGGGGGTAATACGAGTAATGAAGTGACAAGTTTGAATGATACAGTTTTATCGTTCGTGAGGTGAGAGGTTATGGAAAGTGTAGGAGTCTTTCGTGACTATAAACTGTGACTATAAACCACTTGCTCACACCACTGTGGCACCAAGCAATTTCACATAATTTCTACAGTATTACTTTGTCAGCTTGAGGCTGTAAAATGTCCGTTTACTTCCAATGAGAGCGGAGTTATTTCATTTCGTTTTAAGGTCTTCTCAATCTCTTCTTAAACTTGTCGTTGTTCAGGTATTTTGATTCGCATTTATGGCTGCGTTTTCTTCATGATATCAAAGCATTGTATTTCAAATTTACCAAATCAACGATACATGTAATATGTTTGCTGTTTTCGTCATTATTGAAGGAGTTAAAGGTGTCAAAAACAGACAATAAGAATGAGAAATTAGCAAGCCTTGGACGACAGTCGGTCGTAGTAATATCGGATATAAATACAGGTTAGTAAGTATATAAACGACAACGCAAATACATTTAAATAAAAATTAGTATGCCCTTCTTCGAAGAAGAGGGGGTATATTGTTTTGCAAATGTCGGTCTGTCTGTCTGTCTCATTGTCGGTCGGTCGGTCGGTCTGTCTGTCGGTCGGTCTGTCTGTCGGTAGACCACATGGTTACCGCTGATTATCTTAAAAATTATTCATCACAAAGTCTTCATATTTCACATAGTGATTTGCCATAATTCGTAGATGACCCCTATCGATTTTGGGATCACTAGGTCAAAAGTCAAGGTCACGGGGCCTTAAATGTCAGAATAGTTTCCGCTGATTATCTTTAAAAGTGTACTCATCACAAAGTCTTCATATTTCATATAGTGATTAGTCATAACTAGTAAATGACACCTCTTGATTTTGGGTTCACTTTGTCAAAGGTCAAGGTCACAGGGGCCTTTACTCTCAGAATGGTTTTCGCTGATTATCTTGAAAAATATACATCACAAAGTCTTCATATTTCACATAGTGATTAGTCATTATTAGTAGATGGCCCTGTTGATTTTCGGGTCACTAGGTTAAAGGTCAAAGTCACAGGGGCCTTAAATATCAGAATGGTTTCTGCTCATTATCTTGGTTACAATTCATTACAAAGTCTTTTTATTTCACATTGTGATTGGTCATAACTAGCAGATGAACCCTGTTGATTTTGGGGTCACTAGGTCAAAGTTCAAAGTCACAGGATTCTTGAATGGTAGTATGATTTCAGCACATTATCTTGAAAGATAATAATTACAAAGTCTTCATATTTCACATATTGATATAACCAGCAGATGTTTTTGGGGTCATTAGTTTAAAGGTCCTGTCACAGAATGGTTTCCGCTTATTATCTTGAAAACTATTTATCACAATGTCTTCATATTTCACATACTGATTGTTCATAACTAGTAAGTGACGCATATTGATTTTGGGGTCACTATGTCAAAGGTTAATGTCACAGGGTTCTTGAATGTTAGTATGGTTTCCGCTTATTATCTTGAAAGCTATTTATCACGAAGTCTTTCTAATTTTGATTGGTCATAACTATTAGATGATCCCTATTGATTGTTGGTCATCAGTTCAAAGGTCAAGGTCACAGGGGCCTTAAATGTCAGAATGGTATCCGCTCATTATCTTGAAAACTATTTATCAAACAGTCTTCATTATTTTTCTTTTTTCCATTATTGAACACTTCCATGTACCTAAAGTTTCTATAACAAAATTACCAATTATGTGTGACAAGGGCTAGAAAGGGGGCATATGTGTCGTTCGACAATTGATGTTTGATCTATACATTGTATTAAACAAATTGACGAATCACCCAAATTTCTATTTTATCTAAAATTACAAATATAAAGGCTTATCGTATATTAGAGTGTACCAGTCAGTGTGAGACTGTCAGTATTTTGTTTTTTTTTATTAATGTCTTAGGGTTTTATTGGGGGAGGAGAGGAGTCAGTTGTAATTTGGAATTATGAAACCATATTAATCTCCACTTTACATGCGAAATTTGGTTAGTTGCAGTATGATTTGCCAACTGCCCTTCTCCGCTGTCTTTCCTTGATTGTGCCTTTACCCGTTTGACACCATTTTTGCGTGCCGTTGCTTCAGACCATTTTGAGGCAGCGTTCTGTGAAAGTTGCTCCACCTTGTTGTTTATTAGTCTCATGTTTTAAAGAAATACCTTATTTGTCGAAAATATTTTCAGGAAAAGAAGAACCGGCGTGGATAAAAAAGATGAATTCCACAAATAAACCCATATTACCACCCGAGTTTCGAAGACTACAGGTGCTTCTTATTTTTTCTTACATATACGTCTAAAACTTCGATCTTTTTTATTTATTTCTTGCATGGTCCTTCAGAAGGAAATGGTTTTAATTGCATTGATTTGTTACAAGTCAACCTTTTTGTACTCTTAAACTTGTGTCAAGGTAGCAATAGGGGTTTAAGATAATAGGCAACTCTTATAAACAAAGCGGTATTCTTATCAGTACTTTCAGTCTTATTAGGCTGGTAAATGTCGCATGGCATTTCGGGAGATTTAAATATCTTTACTGATGGGGTTATGGTTCATAAGAACTGCATGATATTTATTCATGAGTGTACAAAATGTCAAGTTGATAGCCCCAATACTTTTAAGTGATACGAATATCTCGGGCATGCTTAAACCAGATATCAAGGTCAATGTAACATTGACAGAAAAATATTTATCCGCATTAAAACTGCTATATGTATGCATGTGGAGGAATTTGATAAAATTTGGTACAATTGTTAACCAGAGTTTCGTACATAAATTCTATATCCCTTTGAGTAATGTCAACATAATTCAGATCAGTATGTGCAAGGTCACTATTTAAGAATTCAAAGTTTTTGTCGATCAAAAAAATGCAAGTATGAATCATATATATTAATTATTTGACTGATTGTATTTTGTGATGATCACGCTACATATGTTTTCAGTAAAGACTTCTTAACAGAGACATTCTATGTTATAACTCTTTCGAGAATCAACCGCAACATTATAGAAACGATATAATTTTACTGTTTCAAAGTTTTATTATTAAAACATGCACGACATACATTTTTATACCATTTTAGCTCCATAAATCAGAGCAAAAAGAAAACGATGTACCACCAATAAACTAACATTTTATACATAATTTATTTCTTATATTGCAGAACTTACTGACTACAGAACCGTCGTCAGGTAAGCATTTTCCAGAGAGTGTTATAAGGTAACTTGAAGAATGATTTTATGACAATTAAATTAATTCATTTGAACGCGAGAATATTTGAATGTGCGTGTATTATATGTGTGCTAGCCATGCTTTATGAATATATACATTTGTATATATATATTAAATAGATGTATGTGATATGATAAAGTCTGTAATAAATTTTCCAGCGACACGGCATCAAAATGGTCCTCAGCAATATATAGATCTTCTGTCGCCATTTAACGACCTTTCTTCAGTCGATAATCCTCTGTTAAATGACGATCCTCCCTCATACGAAGAAACGGTAAGATATTTTACGCTACAAAAGAAGAAATTAACGTGTATTAAGATGTACTGTAGGATTTTTAAAAAATCTGGAAAAGCAGTGAGGTAGGCGTCAAGATTTTGAGTTGAGGACAATCTTACATTCTAGACATGACATTTTATTGTTTCCTTTATTTGATAGATGCGTAGGTATACACTGGAGTATCGATGTATTTTTCTCTAGAAGTTTTCCAACAAATACGAGGATTGATTAAAATGTTCTTGGCCCGATGTATTTCCGGTAGTCAGAAAACCCAACTAATGGTCTTACTTAACAATATAATCGCCCTCGACATAAATGCACTTTGCCCGACTGTGCTCCAACTTATTTAACCCTTCAATGTATAACTCTCAATTTTGGTCCCCAAAGAACTCATTGACCACCTCCATTACACCGTCATTGCTTCCAAAACGTCTATCACGAAGCTTGGTTTTCAGTTTTGGAAACAGGTAGAAGTAAAAGCGGGACAAGTCCGGAGAACATGGGGGATGGGAAGAATTTCAAAGCAGCAGTCAGTTACAGCAGCAATCGTTACTTGGGATGTGTGAGCTGGCGCATAATTACGCAGAAGCAAACACATTGAGTCAGTTTGCTCCTCCTTTTACGCGCGATTTTTTGACGCAGTCGTCGGAATTCGTCTGCATAGAACGTACCGTTTATGTTACGACCTTGCTCAAGATAGACAATCATGATTATCCCCTGACTATTCTAAAAATTGAAGCCATCATCTTCCCTGCTGATGGCTCCCTCTTGAATTTCTTCGGAGGGGGTGAGCCAGTGTGCTTCCACTGCATGCTCTGTTATTTTGATTCTGGATCGAAGTGATGGACCCATATTTTATCCTGAGTTACAATCCGGTAGATAAAATTAGGTTCATTCTCGTATTGAGACAAAAGATATCTTGAAATGTCAAACCTGGTCCGTTTCCGGTCGTCAGTCAACTGTCTAGGGACCCATTTAGCGGAAACTTCTGACATGCCATAGACATCAGTCAGAATTGCCTGAACTGAACCAAAGCTTATATCCATTTCCCTAGCTATGCTTCGCAGGTCTCGCCTTCTGTCGCACATGGCCAGATCATGCACAGCTTCGGCAGTTTCATCGTTGATGGCCTCTTTTAGCCGACCAGGCCGCTCATCATCTCCGATGCTCTCCCTACTCCTCTTAAATTTAGCAAACCATTTTATCACCGTGCTATAGGAAGGGAACACTCCTTTCCAAGTGTATCCATTAAGTCTTCTGATTTCAACTTTCTACATTTGATCTTAATGACACACCTCTCTTCTGATCAGATTGTGTTTTATGTGACTCAATCCGTGTTAAACCGCGTGTAACTCGGTCAGTAATCGGTATCGACGTATCGTGTGTAAATGTCGGTATAGGCTAGAAGTATATCGGGCCGAGAACTTTTTTATCATACCTCGTACTAGCAGCCTTGGCAGAAACTGTAAGACGGCATACTCTAAATTGCAAAATTAAAAGATGTTTGAATATTTCAATTTCAAAAACTTTCTTCTTAAAAAAAAATTTTTTTTATTTGTATATAGTTTGCAGTATTCATATAATTCTTTATATTCCAACAGTTAATTGCAAAGCGATTTGATTGTATCGCAAATTCGTTTTTAATTGATAAATCAATCTATTTTGTTCCAATAAAAAACCGTAGTATACAACGTTGCAACTCATTGTGAATTTGATACAAAGACTTAAGTTAACAAGTATACTAATAGGCTAAGACTTATTCTTGTGTAATCCCTACGTAAATAAAAGGGAAAAAATGAATCGTGCCTTCAGTGGGTTCTACCAAAGAAACAACTGGTTTCAATACATGCACATTGTATTAAGACATCTTTCGTATATATCCTATTTATGGATCTAGGAAAATTTTCGGTAGTTGGAGTGTACTTCCAAAGATGAAAAGACAGACCGGGTATAAACATATGAAACGGCTGCTGCATGCCTCCAGATAAGACAAAATCTTTCAAGAAAATCAAATTTCAGAAAAAAAATGTAATACGAATAACGGTTTTAAGAAAAGTAAAACAATTCCAGATGCAAGTAATGATTACCATGTTTTGATATATTTATCACCATATTTCTACTGCGGGAATAATGCTATTCTTGCATATTTTGACCTCTGTTTGGTAATGTACGTGGATTGTAAGTGCCGTTTGCAATGTGTTACTTACTTTCTTTGTTCACTTCACAATATTTTATTTTAAGTACATTTTCCAAATTTTCATGAACATTATCATGAATATATGACGGCATACTGCTATATTCCTCCTATAATGTAAATGGTAGAACAATACATAGACGTTCACATTTAGAAATTTGCCAAAGATAAATTAATTCCTTAGTCATTAAAATGCTTGTAATCAATTCAATTCAAGGCGATTACATAAGGGGTTGGCCATGATAAACGGAATTCTACCATACGAAGTATCATCGCAAAAGTATTAATTATCCAAAATATGCATGTATGATGTAAAGAAAACTATTTTGTACTGTTATGTACAGGCATTTGACATAGAAAACACGAAGAGCTTCACACATTCACACTAACACATACATTATATGCATCGTCTGTATAATACAAAAAAAAACCTTACAGAAGTAAATCTAATCTTTAATATAGCATGCATTTTATTTTTATTTATTTATTAGATCACAATACTAAAACAGAAGAAAAATATTGTTGAAAAACAGTTGGAAGTATATGGAGGTAAGGGAAATTATGTACACTCAATTTCTTACCCTTTTTACATTTTTAAGCGAATTAACACTTGACACTATTTAAAGGGATTCAAACACAACTGGACTGAAATAGTTTTTCGATATTAATTGTTTCATTTGGTGCAGGAGAAGCTAGATCAGTAACTTGTGTGCAAAATCATGCGCTCATTCTGTTTTTCAAGAGTAATCATTCTAATTGTGACAAATGACTAAACATTTCAATCAAATTGGCTCTTTAAAGCACAAACATACGGTTTTCAATTTATTTCTGAGTATTTCTTTTTGTTTGACTTTGCTTTTTTAATTTCTTTTTGAATTAAATGGTTCATGTAATCTTTGTAAGAAATTCAAGATTTATGCTTTAAGAATTTTGGACCTAAGTGGAGTTCTTTTAAAATACTGAAATAGCATACAAGCTAGTATTTCAGTTTTTTGCAATTTTATTTATAATAATATTAGTTTTCTTTTTTTCTTTTTTTTCTTAAAGATGTAAGTATTTTTATGGTAATACCGGCCGAGTTCAATTGAAGTGATGTAGTAAATAACAAAAACAGAAAACGTTGCTGAAAATGGCGAATATTCTGTTAAGGTTACATATTAAAGATTTTTTTATTTGGAAAGAAAAAATCAGTTTGGCCGAGGCCTAAATACATTAATATCTATAGAAAATGCAATAAAACAATGACTAAATGTACATTATTGAATGTTTTGCTTTTTTCTTCTTTTTTAAAAAAAAGAAAAATTGACAAACGATGAATCAGCAAGACTTGGATCAATTGAAAGAACAGTGTCACAAACAAGGCACGTTACAGATCAAACGCACATTCTTCAACGAAATATGAACGACAGGTTGGATAGGATCGAACAACATTTACAAGAAAAAAGACCGGTAAGAAGAGAGATGTAAGAATAATTGTTAGAAAGAAAAAAATAAACATTTCAATTATATATTTTATTGATACTTTACGTAAATAAGGTATAACGTTTTACACGGGTTTTGCTTAGGTTTAGATGTTAGAACAAAAATAAGTCTATTGTAATGCTTTGTATGTAATTGCCCTTTGTGTATGGTTAATTGAAATGGTAAAGCAAGTTTTGTAATAAAATAAGTGGTATTAAGGTTATTCATGATGCGGCAAATTTTTAAGATACTATTTAAATTTGTTATAGTATTTTAAGATATACTCGGACCTACATCCGATATTGCAAGCTTTGTGCAAACTTTTGTTCTTGTACTTTTCATTCATGTAAGTGTTCTAAACATTTTTTTTCAGTCATTACCTGATTCAAATAACGGTAAGAATTATCCTTATTTCCACTCTAAAAGTCATGTAATTATATTTTTATGCCCCCGGGCATATAGTAATTGAACCGTTCGTCCGTCCGTCTGTCCGTCTGTCCGTACTAGGTTAACTTAGAACGGCAAGTTGGATTTTTCTTAAGTTCTACCTGTACCAATGGCTTCTAAGTTTACACACTTACTAATCAATACAAAGTACATGATCTGGGCAAGTTTCATAACTCTGGCTTTCATATTTACCAAGTTATTGCCCTTTTCCGCACTTAGAAAATGAATAATGGTTAACCTAAAACGGCAAGTTGGAAATATCTTAAGTTCTATCTATACTAATAGCTTTATAATTTCCACACTTACTTATCAATACAAAGTACATGATATTGCCAAGTTATATAACTGTGTCATCCATATTTCCCAGTTATTTCCCTTTTTTCACTTTGAAAATATGGCCTTGTCTGGTTAACCTATTTCGACAAGTTGGATTTATCTTAAATTTCTCCTAATTGCTTAATTTCCTTAATGATATATTTCATATTTAGTAGGTGGATACTTTTGATGGTCCTCTAATTTTTTGTGGAGTAAGCGGTCTCTAGGGTCAAGGTCAAGGTCACTGGTTTAAAAAATAAATATAAACATTTTTGCTCATACGGCCTTTATTTTTTAGTTGATGTCTTAGTTTAATACAAACATGCCAAAGGAGGTCCTCCTTCTTTAGGTGTTGTAAGGGGTCATTAGGGTCAAGGTCAATGTTACCATTGTCAAGGTCACCAATGTTAAAAATAGATTTTTACATTTTTACAGGTGTATTGACCTTATTCTATATAGAGATGTTATTTATAATTGATAGAAACATAAACTTTGATGGAGTAAGGGGTCAGTTGGGTCAAGGTCAACAGTGCTAAAAATAGATTTTTACACATTTGCTCATACAGCCTTTATTAAGTGACAGATATATTTTATATTTGGTAGGAAGATAACTTGCATGGTATTCATCCTTTTGATTGGGGTAGGGATCAGTGGGTCAAGGTCACTTGTGCTAAAAATAGATTTTTACACTTTTGCCCATACAGCCTTTATATATTGACAGATGTATGTCATATTTGGTAGGAAGATAACTTGCATAATATTCTTCCATTGGATGGAGTAAGGGGTCAGTTGGGTCAAGGTCACCAGTGCTAATAATAGATTTTTACACTTTTGCCCATACAGCCTTTATTTATTGACAGATGTATTTCATATTTGGTATGAAGATAACTTACATGGTATTCTTTTTTTGGATAGAGATAGGGGTCACCAGTGCTCAAAATAGATTTTTACACTTTTGCCCATACAACCTTTATTTAATGACAGATGTATTTCATATTTGGTAGGAAGATAACTTGCATGAAGTTGAATATTTTTCAACTTCACAAGTCAGAGCAATGACTTGGCAACTTATATTTTTCACAATTACAAAATGCCATGACTTTTTTGAAATATTGCTACTGACAAGAATCTGAGCCGGGGGCATTTGTGTTTAACAAACACGTTCTTGTTCTGTCTTAAATTAAATTAATGGCCTGCCTTTGATAGTCTCACTCAAGAGGATGAATACACATGTATGAAAGAGCAACTTCTGCTTGTTCGAATCATTGCGAAACCTTGTTAAACATTTTTGGGGGTCTTATGCAAAACTTCCATAATATTTTGTACTCACAACAAAATGTAGTGTTCATTTGTTTCTGACAGAGTTGTTGGTCATTCGGGACCATTCACTTTAATACTTATGATGTTCAGAGTAGAATATCGCATAAGATTGCGTGATGTGTCGCAAAAGATCGTCCATTTTCCAGATGAACTCAATAGTTTGATGTTTTTGTTTTAATCGCTGCCGGAATTTTTCTGCTCCAAAATGCTTTATTCCAGCTATGACAATAACAATAACGTATAAGTACAATTTATTTTATTTTAAATGAATAGCCTTATATTCTTTCATACATGAAGATCGATTATGCTTTGAGGTTAATTTCCTAAACATAAGTATGGCTTAGTTCCTCTCAATGTCCATGCCATCAAAGTAACACCCTGTATATCCAGATTCCAGATGCATATTTCACAAAAGTAACGCCCATTCTGTGCAACGCTATGGCTAAAACGAGTAACATGTTAATAAATGGACAGAAATATTTTATCCTAAACCTAGTTAAAAGAAATGAATAAGCTTATACGGCTGCAAGGACATTATGCGTAAACCAGCATTACACATTTTTCTTGTAATGTGTTTCATATTTAAGATCATTTATTAAGAATGACGACCTGACTACCATTTTAAAGGCGACTTTTGTGTTTCGCCGAAATTAATTATTCACTAACGTATTTAAAGATTTATTATCTACATATTCAGTATACCTCATACATTTGACAAACTACCACTGCAGGTAAAATAAGATTCTGCTATTTTTTATGAGGTAAAACCCCTAGTTTTTCTTTGCATCATTCATGAATTCGGCGTTACCTTGTAAACATGGTCTCAGTTACATTGTATCTACTAATTTGTTATATGAGCAGTTTGGCAAATGGGTTATGATGTCTCAGTAGTCGTGTGCGCCAATTCATTTTTTTCAATTTGATGTACAATGTAGAATGAAATCTGTTGGTTCATTTACTTTCCGTAGTGCTCGTTTCGGGCACAAGATCGTTACTTTTGCACATTCCGTGTGCTATTTGCACATCACAACGTTGCTGGATATACACGGTGACTTATATACCGAAGAAATTTAAACTTATTGTTAATGTCATATTTCACATAACATCTGCAGGGTTCTGAAGAACGGTTGGTTCCCGAGCCCGGTAGGGCGAGGGCTCCAACAGTTCCGAGGGAAGGACTCTGCAGAATTTATAACACGAAATAAACGTGCGTTGACGCTATTATAGCATAAAATTTAAAACAGATTCATGATGTTTATTTAAAACAAAACACATTCCATTAAATCCTTGTGCTTGGACGGTATTTATCCATCTCTACATGTTTTATTTTTCCGGGGCCAACAACTTGGGAAATACAAATGCTCAGAACCGAACGAAATTTCGAATTTTATTGATTTAACAAAGCTTATTATTGGGGATTTATTAACTCAAGAAAACAAAAACATTCAATTACTCTACCCAAGACAAAACATGAACCTCAGAAATTCCTACAATGATTTCAGATTGACGGTAGAAAAAGATCAGTGACATCAGATCTAATCTCTTTTTTTTTCAAGCACACAAAAAAATGAAATTTTTGAAAACAAGAAGTATCTTTAAAAAGATACTCGGCCGAAGTCAAACTTGTTAACTTGCATAGGATAAGCTACTACTAGCCATTCTAACCGCAAACAGAACATTTTATTACATGCTTTTCGGTGATTTATAGAAATATATCAGTGATATAAAACTGGTAATTTCACTGTTTGAAACAGTGAAATTACCACTGTGATAATTTCACTGTTTTGAATTTAAGCCCCTTACGTTGTTTCAGTGAAATACCAGCGTGCACAGTACTGGGTACCAACTTTATGAGGTGACGTCGTAAATGACGTCACGTTGTATTATTATTTGGCGCGCTTTTCATTCAGTATTAGATTCAATGTCTTTTTAAAACGTTTCTTTGCATGTAATAAAAAGAAAATGTGTTTATTTTACTGTAAGATCGAAATATATTTCACCTCGTAAACGCCAAAAGTTCATATTTTACTCGTGGCTGCGCCACTCGTGAAATATACCTTTTGGTGCTCACTCGGTGAAATATATTCAGATCTTACACTGAATTAAACAAATATCCTCTATTTAATCAAAATGGAATTTGATTTGAATAGGAATTTATAATAAAACAAAGATTTAGTAGATACTGTACACTTATTCCACGGACAATTTTGCAACTGTAAATTAGTCGAAAGTTCGTTTCAATCGTCTTATGTCCGGTTCACTAGAACAGCTTAGAAGAATGCCCCCAATCGAAGGCAAAAGTATCAGTAAGGCGATCTGTCATATTTAATTTCATATATTTATTGAAAAGCTGTTAGATACATCTAGAAAATATCATTATTGTGTTTTTATATTTATTCTGACACTTCTTGCCATCGCGCAATCGAACAGAACTCTACCTATAACGGAAGTTCTTCTAAAGTATCAATCGAACAGGCTATTAGTATTAAAATGACCAATGACAATTATTATGGCTTCACTGTTAATTTTAGCGGAAGTCAGACGGCCTTTGGCCAAAATATCAGGCACTAAACGTTTTATTCTCTCAAAGAAATACAAAGAGTATTTATCAATGTAAACATCAATAAAACAACATTTTCTCATATTCATTTTGTGTTATCTTGTTTTGTAAGTAAATCGGAGGGTTTAACTGAATGACAGATATTTGTTTACATTGACAACTTTTTCGTTTCTTAGAAAGGGCGAAAACCAAGATTAGCGGCGATGTCTATACGCCGTATTTCCGGCAAAGTTATTTGAATGCTGCTCGCCGTTATGCGATTTGGACCCGCGAATCAATAATTACAATATAACAAGAGCGCATGACTCTTTGGCAAACAGGTCAAATCGTCAATAATTGTGTTTGTTTACCGGGACCTCTGTATGTATTGTGCATAGATAAATAGCGCTTGACTATGTTAACACGTGGTTTTGGTCCCGTTATAATATGGACAAAAGAGGGAATAATAGCCGATTTTATGCTACAATGGTAAAAAACACCAACGTCAATTGCTTTTAAAGATATTAAAATAGAGAAAGCAAGAATCACTAAAGAAAGTTCGACACAACATAATTGAAAATGTTGCAAGCTCGGTTTGATTGAGCCTGTTCATGGACGGTACTGTAAAGTGCAAACTACCGTCCACGACCTCTAGCACCGGCTTAAGCAGAATTCAATATTTAAAATGAACTGGTACAATTTTAAATTTTGAAACATCCGCAGATGTGTTCATATGGCGGTTATCATGGAACCTTCAATGTGACACTAAGTGCCATTCCATGAAAAGCGGCATATGGTTCCTAAGTAAAAAAAATGCGTGTGCCATAAACGAGAAAATAATGGGCGGAACTAAATAAAATGGAATTTTGAAAGGGGATCAGAGGTTATGAAGCCTGCATATCACAGATAATACGTCAAAAGACAAATTTAAAAAGCAGGCTACATATCCTAAGGATGATTCAACAGTATTCAAGTGAGGAATACTGGAACCACCAAACAAGAAAAAAGCCAAAGAGAAAGAACTAAATCACCACAAGCACAACAATTATGTCGTGCTGAACGATCTTTAAGAATCGGAAATATAACATCTCTGATTGAATGTACGGGGCGACTTTTTACAGCCTCCACACGGCACAAACAACGCTGATGTGGCGATAAAATAGAGAAAGCAAGAATCCCTTAAGAAAGTTTGACACAACATAATTGAAAATGTTGCAGGCTCGGTTTGATTGAGCCTGTTCATGGACGGTAATGTCAGGTGCAAACTACCGTTCACGTCCCCTAACACCGGCTTTTGCAGAATTTAACATTTGACATGAACTGGTAGCATTTTAACAGATCTGTTCATATATCGGTTATCATGGAACTTTCAATGTGACAAGTGCCATTCAATGAAAAGCAGCATATGGTCCCAAAGTAAAACAATGCGTGTGCCCTAATCATGTAATCCATAAAACAATGTGCGGAACTAAATAAAATGGAATTTTGAAAGGGAATAAGAGGTTATGAAGCCTGTATATCACAGATAAGACGTCAAAAAACAAATTTAAAAAGCAGGCTACATATCCTTAGGGTGATTCAACAGTATTCAAGTGAGGAATACTGGAACCACTCAACAAGAAAAAAGCCAAATAGAAAGAACTAAATTACCACAAGCACAACAATTATGTCGTGCTGCACGATCTTTAAGGATCGGAAATATAACATCTCTGATTGCATTTACGGGGCGACTTTTTACAGCCTCGACACGGCACAAACAACGCTGATGTGGCGATAAAAAAGAAAAAAACTCAACTCAGATAATGAAATGGTTAAGGGTGCGTAAAGTGTCACAGGCAATTTGAGACAAGAGATGCTCTTTGGGAGGCAAACAACGATGTAGTCAGCCTTAAAAGGCGATCTAAGATTGCAGAAAACGTCGGAATTATAATTCCGCTTATTTTGTAGGCGTAACTTAATGCATGCAGTAACGATCAAATGTCCCCATCTTGGCTCGAGTGCATATTGTTCCATCAAAATAATGCTCCATGGCACAATGTTGTGTCTTCCTCTCTACGTAAAATCTGCTTGATTCGTTTTAAAATAGCACGTAGTTTTATGAAGCACTTGAGTTTCTCGTATTTTTTTTTTCATACGACAGTTTCTGGTTAGACAGTATATCTTCGTTAAATGGTAACAGAAATGAAATACATAGTGAAAACGCTGAAAAGTATGTCTGAATATTCGCGAATATATCATTGCATCCGACGGTCATTTGTCTCCCGCCGCTGATTCAGAAGTCATAAGGCCTTTAAGAACTCGGTCACATACGGATAAATTATTGTTATTGGTTAGTTAAATCGTTGTAAAAATCAGAAAACAACTTTGCCACAATAGTACAATGACACGTTCTGGTTTCGTTGTTGTAACGGTTTTGTATCGATAAGTGTAATTAATTTAGAAATCCACCAACACTTGATAATATAAAATGTTTCTACTTACTACATATTAATGATATCAGTGCTTTAAAATCTCTGTAATACTAGTGCAAGTTATTTAAAAGTCCTTAGCGGACGAAACATGCGTCTTTTTTCATAGCGCTTTCTATGCCAGTATTTTATAAAGCATTACAGATGCAAGATGAAAGATTTGAATCAGTAGAAAGAACAGTGACAGAGACAAGACAAAACATGATCGATCGACTGGAGAGGATTGAACATAGCTTACAAAACTTACACGTGAGCATTACATTTATTGAATTAAAAGCACTTTTATTTGATATAAAGCTGATATATCATTTCACTGAACCATCTTCACAGAAGTTGTGAACAATACGCTTTATTTCTATTTATTACAAATTTGGACTAAAACGTATGTTTTGTAAAATACGAGACTTACAGATTATTTGGTTTTACTTTTCAGCCTCAGACAGAATCATTTGTAGGTAAGAACTTGCATATTATTGAATAAGATACAACATATATCTTACAATATATACCTTTCTCATTTCAGAAATATTTTTCCTAAATTGAAGCGTATGTTTTAAGTCTGTTTTTAGAATGCCAAAAGGTGCATTTGAAACATAATTATTATTTTTAATTTTCCATATTTATGAAGAGATTATTAAAATTTTCAAAGAATCATTAGTCCATGTATTATTTTTAGTAATTAACAAGTATTAACAAACGTTTGATGTTCACAGATCACGTGAGTCAACGTGTTGTGAAAAGGTTATTGCAAAATGAACAATTAAGAGTCAGAATGCAGCCTAACGAAGAACTAATGAAATGCAAATCAGTTCAAGAACATGACACAATTCCTTTTTGGACCCTTGGGCACAATAGAGTGCATAAGTGTGAAAGGTGTAACTGTACGAGGCGATGTAATTGCATTTGCCATTCTCAAAACCAGTGGAGTAACCTTGACAAAAGGAGAGATAAAAAGAGTAAAATGCATTCCGACACAAGGAGAAGTAAGTATTGTGGGAAAAGTATATATAAGAATATATAAACCTATGCAAGTTCTCACATTGTCAATCTTATTCTAATTAGTAGAACATATACATTTAATTGTAGCATTAACTATAGAAAAGAATTGTTATTTAATCAAATTTGTTCACAGTATACACATTTATTCTTAAGAAATATATAATTTTCTACGTTTGAAGTATGAATTAGTGGAAAATTATTTCCCTTGTATATTGATGAGTCTCCGCTAGGTGGCGGTATGATTTTGCACAAGATTTTAAGTTTGGCGGGTTATAGTAGTTATTCAGCGTTGAGAGAGCCTACCAGTAAACACGTAAATTAATTATTTCTAGTTCGTTTTGATTATGAAAAATATCATGTATATTTTGAAAAAGATGTAAATTAAATATTTTGAAACAGTATCATGTGATTAAATACTTCAAACAATTTGACATTATGAATTATATGTTTAAATATATGATATGTCATCGTGATGTGTGAATGTGAAATGCATGTTGATTTCATTTATATATGAATATATAGTTTGTTTTGCTCTCACAATCGCTCTGAACAAATTAAACATTAAATTTGTTATTGATTCTTGTTGTTTTTGGAGACGAGGTGTTATAAGTGAATGGTCTAAAATTAACAAAAGCAACATTAAGATACATATTTAGCTCTTGTAACGGTATTTAAATACGGTTACAAATAAGCGGCAAACAAATAAGCGGCAAACAAATTTGATTTAGTCTTCGAAATGAATGATTCACGTTAGATCGGTTTACAAAGAATTAACCAAGTAATATTATTTTTATTTCTCTGCATGACTTGAAACTTAGTTCTTGATTTGATGCTTATATTACCGGATTACAAAAATTCTTACGTAGATTTTGGTTGACTGAGTTGAGCAAAGTTTTTATTTTAACTTATCGTTTTAGATAAAGAGTCGTCCAAATGGCAAAACACAAAGGAAGATATACAGTTATTCGGGGCTACTGGGGGTGATCCAGATGAAAGTCCCAGTGATGATCCGTCTAGTGATGATGATGACAGTAACGGTAACAATAGGGGGCGCTATGAGAAAAAGAAAAAAGACAAAAGAATATGGAAGATAGGTATGTTGTTTTCATAATTAGTTCAACATGAAAATAGTTTTCGTCGGATATACCATAATAATAATAATTCATTATTACATGTATTTTATCAAAACTTGTTAACAAATATGGTGAAAAAGGTCAACCCCTTGAACAGTCAATGACTACAATTTTAACCAAACAAATATGTTATGCACAAAGTGATGCAAAGCATTGCGCAATAGCTACATAGCGGCTTTAGGAAATGTAGAACAGTATAGAGTATATTCGACATAAATAGATAAATAAATAAGAAGAAGTATATAAAATTGTACATTAATATCATATACTTAGTCCGTCTTTTGACTCTTCGTGAGAAAAAGCAATTTAAATAAACAGTCACTACACAAAATATGTACAATGTATTCGAGTATGATTATTTACACAGCCTACGGAAGGTCGGTAGTTTTACTCATGTGCCAGTCCGTGGTCCGAGCCTGAAATAGTGCACGAAGGGGCACCTTAGACCCCCTGTACAAAAAACCTTAACAGTATCGATGTGACAACAAAATAAGCAAGGAATGAATTTTGGGAAATATTCAATATTCTAAGTAAAAATAAAAAGAATAACTTTGTTCTTGCAATTTTATGCAATATTATTTTTAATAAAAATCAAAAAGTCATAAAGTCAAGTGAAATAGTAAATAGCTTCCATGTTTTGACATGAATTTTTTGATATCATATGATGAAATGCTTATTGTCTCCCCTACAGATAAAGATGCATGGCTCAAGTGTATCAAGGAAGGAGGCGATTTTGAACATCAGGCGGAAAGTTTATTAAGTGAAAGAAAGTTGCCAGATCAAATTGCGCTGAACGCTATAAGATCAAAGTGCACACATTATTCCTCAGTTATTTCTAAAATTTGCGATAAGGTATGCGTTTATATCAAGAAGAAGTCAGAAAACATTGCACATGTTTGGGCTGCTACACAATCAAAGGATTCCTTGCCTAGTAATAATGACATTGTTTTCGTTGTACTGACAACAGATACAACAGTTCAAATAAACGAAGAAAACTTTTTAATATATCAAAGACATTTCTTGCAAGTCGATGATACCGACCTGAACAAAGAAATAGAAATAATGGAATACAATAATCTGCCAACCTCAGAAGAAATTGATAAACTTGAGAAATGTTTGAAAGAAAATGCAAAATCGTTGATGAATGACCATAGCAACCTTACTAGGGTGACAGCAAGTTGGTTCAGAACAGATAGTAATGATACAGAACACCTATCATTAAGAAAAGAATTGTGTATTGCACTCTATGTCCACATTAAAGGATATATACCAGTGGGTGAGAAACATTTCCCACCTGAAATTGGAGGATTTCCAGTGGTTGTCCGAGAGGGCATTTTTACACTTTGTAGAGGTTCAAAAGAGTATCATGAAAATGTGAAGATGGGTTGTGAAATCAGTGCAGAAATGTCTGGTACTCTTGGGGCATTCATAGAATTTAAAGATGATAATCATTTATATGGGCTCACGTGTGCACATGTTGTATTTTGTCGTGAAAAATTTGAGATTTTGCTTCAAAACGGAGTATTTGAAGAAGTTATAGATGTTTGGCAACCTGCAGCCCATAATGCAAATTGTCAACCTCTTGGCAAAACAGTGTTGGAAGTTTATAAAAGTGGAGGAAATGGCATTGCAGGAATGGAGTTTGCGCTGATAAAAATCTATCACAACAGAAGGCCTACTGAAGGCACATTCCCCGATGACTCTGATTATTTGTCAGCAGGTACTCTTGAGCAATAATAAGTCCCCTAGCTGTGAACCGGCGGGTACTTATGGTTTACCCTACGTCCGTCTATCCGTTCGTCCATAAAATTGGATCCTGTAATAACGCAAAAATACAGAAAATATGCCTAGACTTGATACTATTCTCGTCTTTTTATCCTTCCTATGTTGAAAATTTAGGTTTTTATGGCAACAAATAGACTTAAAATATGGCCAATAAAACAATAGTTGTGATTTTTTCAAAAGTACTGAAAATATTTAGTATATTATCAAAAATGGAATTTAATTCAATATCAGGAGATAAGTTAAATATCAAGTGCATTTCGTGGGTGAAATTGCCAGATTGACAATCATGTGTCGAACCGGTAACAAGATTTTTCTATTTTTAGCTCCTGTGACCTAGTTTTTGACCGGAGATGACTTAAAACTTGACCTATAAATTATCCAAACAACCTTCTGATCATTTTTAGTATATTTTGGACAAAAGTTCAGCCACATGAGTGTTAACACGATTTTTTTTCTTTAGCTCCTTTGACATAGTTTTTGACCGGAGACCTACCATATTCAAACTTAATCAAGAAATCATCAGATCAAACTTCGTGACCAATTTCCAGAATATTTTAATCAAAACTTCAGCCACTAGAGTGTCAACAAGATTTTTCTATTTTTAGCTCATATGACCTATTTTTTGACCGGAGATGACCCATAGTCAAACTTGACCTAGAAATCATTTTAAAAAACATCCATGACCAATTTTCCGGACTACGAAATATACACGCGGGTGGAACCCCATATTATCTCAAAAATGAGCATCGGTAAAACTTATATGTGAATTTCCACTCCGTTTAACCATGACGAACATTTGTGCCAATTTATATATAAATCCCTCTATGCATGTAGAAGTTTTGCTCCAGACAAGCGTTTTGAATGACCTCTAAGTGTGACCTTGATCTATGACCAAGAGACCTGGTTCATGTGCGCGACACTCATTCTCATAGTGGTGAACATTTCTATTAAGTTTAAAAAAGCCTTCATGCGTGTAGGACAAAAATTTGATGCAGCCCGCCCAACTGCCCGCCATCTGTAAAATAACCCGCTTTTCAAACGGTTGCATGAAAATTGGAGATTGTTCATTTCAACAACTAGATTTCAATACAATTTTAATAAAGATAAAATGTTGGAAAAGTCTAAATTCAATACTATTTTACATTGTAACAAATGGGAGATGGAACGCAGAATAAGAAGTTTTATCTAAAATTTAACATAATTTTTTCAATAAATAAAAATATTTTTAGTAGGGTTTTTATCACAACTTTTCATTAATCTGTCAATTTAAAAGACCGGGGTGAATATAAAAACTGGAAAAGAGAGATTTACGCCTGATATCATTTAAGTACGAACATTTAAAAAATTAGTGAAATTCATCACCAATATTTTGATACGGACATCTGGAACATAGTCTATTTTGGGATCAATTGCCAAATTTCTGCCTTTTTCAATTTGTAATAGGTGATTCATTGTTCTAAATTTACATAAATATTTGCCTTTGTCAAACGGAAGTACATCCAGATATTTTTCAAAACACGGAGTATTTTCATACGCAAAGCACTTACAATATCAATAGTACTATGTCAATTTGTAAAATATAATCATGCAGACTATTTTAAAGTGATTAATATTATGTACTTTCTATAGATTAAAATATTCTGACATACCAAGATTATTAAACGTTTCTTCACAAATGTTATCCATTTAGAATTAACAATATCCCTACGGGACAAAGACAACATTGTTTTGTACAGAAGTTTACATATCTTATTTTCCTCAGCATTAATAATTTTATTCCAGAAACACAAAACTCTTGCTTTCACTTGCAAGACTAATGGAAATATGCCATATTCACCATTGACTATACAATTAGGCGTAAAAGATTTTAAGTTCAAAATCAACCAACAAGAAAGCATTGAAATTTCTCTTAAATTTGAACTTGTATCAAATCCCAAAACTTCAATTCCATAAAGAAGGATTGGTACAACCATAGAATTAAATAACTTCTATTGCAAAGAAATTGGTAGACATAATTAACGGGACTTTTGGATAACAAAAAACATTGGTCTTCAAGCATTATCTACAAGAGTTGGTTTTTATTTCTAACATTTACAAATAGACTCCAAAAGAGAACTCCAAAGATGTATTATGTAATATGATGTCGTCTGGTATGTGAGTATAACACAAGTAGACAACATATAACTCTAATGAAGAAATAAGAGACACGCGTGTGTTCTATCTAAGTTTAATACTGGAGATAAACTCTTAACAAGAGCTGCTGTACTACTTTCTAAGCATGCGCATGTATACACTTATATAGACATTCTCATATTTCTATTTCAAGCTTTCTACCATTATAGATAAAGTTTAAATCATCCGTAGGTTTTGACTTACTTAAAATCATTGTTTTAGTTTTAGCTTCATTAGCAACAATATTCTATGTATTACATTAATCAGTTTTGCTAAAAGTATTGTATCATCAGCATATAACAAAACAAGAATCTGTGTTTGATAAACACAAATGCCCCCGCGCTCACTTTGTCAATAATTTAACTTTAGAGAGTGAAGTAGCTAATTTGTATGGAAAAAAAACAATCACATGTAGAAATATGTAATTGGCACCCTTGTCCTTGACCAACTGACCCCTACCTCTATCAAAAGGAAGAATATCATGCAAGTTATTTTCCTACCAAATATGAAATAAATCTGTCAATACATAAAGGCTGTACGGGCAAAAGTGTAAAAAATCTATTGTTAGCACTGGTGACCTTGACCCAACTGACCCCTAACTCCATCCAAAAGAAGAAGATCATGCAACTTATTTTCCTACCAAATATGAAATAAATCTGTCAATATATAAAGGCTGTATGGGCAAAAGTGTTAAAATCTATTTTTAGCACTGTTGACCTTCACCCAACTGACCCCTAACTCCATCCAAAGGAAGGATACCATGAAGGTTATCTCCCTACCAATTATAATACAAATCTGTCAATAAATAAAGGCTGTATGAGCAAAAGTGTAAAAATTTATTTTTAGCACTAGTGACCTTGACCCAACTGTCCCCTACCTCCATCCAAATGAGAATACCTCAATTTTATGTTCCTACAAAATATACAAGACATCTGTCGATAGAATAAGGTTGATACATCTGTAAAAGCGTAAAAAATCTATTTTTGACATTGGTGACCTTGGCCCAAATGACCCCTTGGTATGACTATTATAAACATGACATTTACTTAAAAATAAAGGCTGTATGAGCAGAAATGTTTAAATCTATGTTTTTACACAAGTGACCTTGACCTTGACCTAGAGACGCCTAACGCCACAAAAAAATAGAGGCCCGTTAAAGGTATCAACCTACAAAATATGAAAGATATCATTAAATAAATTAAGTAATTAGGTGAAATATTTCCAACTTGCCGGTTTAGGTTAACCATTATTCATTTTCTGAGTGCTGAAAAGAGCCATAACTTGGTGCAAATGGTAGCCATAGTTATGTAACTTGCCCAGATCATATACTTTGTATGGATTAGTAAGTGTGTAAATTATGAGGCCATTGGTACAGGTAGAACTTAAGAAAAATCCAACTTGCCGTTCTAGGTTAACCTCGTACGGACAGACGAACGTTCCAACATTTTGGCTTAAGGGGCTATTTTCTTTGTTATTTTCTTTGTTTTCTCAAGGGCTACTAGCCCCTAAACCCTTTGATCACGGAATGAACCTATTGTTCTCTTTTGTTCTCTGTACTGTTATATAGCCCTTAAACCCAAAATGTTTGCTCGGACGGACGAACAGACGGACGGACGGTTCAATTACTACATGCCCGGGGGCATAAAAAACAATTTAACATAAACACTAAGACGTTCACGAGTTGCGTCAGGGATATTGGAAAGTCCTGTGTATTTATTAAATACAAATTCTGACAATTTTTTTCAAAAAGATAGATAACAAAATTGGTGAAAAATTTTCACCTTGACGCACACCGGGAAACTACTAAAGAAACAAGTCAACTCACAGTTTACTTTAACACAAGATTTAGCCTTACTGTACATATTGTGGATTATACCAAAGCACTTACCATCAATATTGTGACGATAATGTGTGCCATAAATGAAAATGATTAACAGAAACAAAAGCCTTCCTAAAGTCCACAAATGCACAGTTAAGCTTTTTATTACAACTTAAATAATAATAAATACATCTTTCAGGAAAATATATGATCACTGCTAACAGCTTAATCTTCGTTAAGTATATTGTGACATTCCAAAATACTCATTGGCTCAGACACTTGGAATTGGAGTTGCAAACAACTTAAAATCTAAATAAAATGTATATTTTGTCAATCCCAGCAAATGTACTGACCATATACATGTATATAATTAGAATTTGATATAAGCTATTTTGAAAAAAAATTATTGCAACGATACCTGTTTCAATTTAAATGTGACCTCAATTTTTCTTTTTTTTTCAAATATGCTTTTTTTCTTGTTCTGATTGTTGTTGTTGTTGTTGTTGTTGTTGTTGTTGTTGTTGTGGTTGTTGTTGTCGTCGTCGTCGTAAAAAAATTAACATAAATCGTCAATATTTTTTAAACAAAATGGTAAAGTTTTGTTATTTTTGTATTTGTGTCAAGAATATAGTGTGTAAACATTACCTAATGCAATCAAATTTTTGTTACAGGATTTGGGCAAGACTCGCCTTTTGTATTTACTTCAGGAAATACTAAAAACACAACAAATATCCCGTTTCCATCAGTGTATAAATACGGTTCTGAAAGCAAACTCACACAAGGGGTGTGTCGAGTAAATGGTGCATCAGTTCGACCATTGAAATTAGAAGGCAACATTCTGAATACTGAAATAGTTTTGCACGATCAGATCGAAATAACGAATGCAGGAACACAATTTGAAACACCATTTGGTGTAGATGGTGATTCAGGTGCACTTGTTTTTGTTAAAGATGAAAACAGAGAGCTTACTGCGTTAGGAATGTTTGAAGGGTATTTCGAGAAAACGAGCATACATGTCTGTTCGCCAATCGACGATATCCTTAACGAAATAAGCCGGATTTATAAAAGACAGTGCTGGTTAAAAAGATTTGTACCATTTGATTCACGAACAAATGATCCGCGGATACATTTTCAGCTGCATGATACAGTAATGTCACTTTCCGGAAGTGTGTCTCAACTGCATGAGAGATTTGAGTTTCTTGATCAAGGTTTAGCTCAAGATTTAGCAAAACATAAACAAGAAATATCAAATGAACTAGAAAAGCAACATGACGAACATCTAAAAAGTGCTCTTG